CCCCCCCCCCCAAAAAAAAAAAGGAAGTGGGCTGCTCTGTAGAGCTGGTGGTGAATCTGTCTGTTTCTATCTAGATGTAGCGAATCCACTTGCTTTCCTTTTTTCTTCCTTCTTTTTTTTTTTTTTAATAACAAGTAGATTCACCTGCTTGAGCTTAACGAGCGTGTTCGCATATATATCTATATGTGTGTGTGTGTGGGGGGGTGGGTGTGGGTGTGGGTGTTTGTGTGGTGTATACTGTCACAGTATATATATACATAGATGTTGCCATATATAATTGGCCGCGATACTATTTTCTATACATTTTTAATATACATTTGTATATCCATATATAGATATCTATATATTTACGTATATATCTATATATAGCCCCTCGTTTGTTGTCCTCTTCTCCCTCTAGCCCCTCGTTTGTTGTCCTCTTCTCCCTCTCTGCCTACGGCAAGGATCTGTGGTGATTTTTCCTCATCTTTTTTTTTAAATAAAGAGAAGAAATAGAAGCTTCTCATGGCAATTTCGTCGCCATTTCTCTATTTTTTTTTTAAATTGTAAAAATATGTATCTTTTCTCTGTGAGGACTTTCTGTGCATTTGTTGTCCCTGGTATTTTTGCTGCTTTTAGTTTTTTTCTTCTGCTTTTACTTAATTTTTCGCCTTCGCTAGCTGAGCAGATACTCTTCATTCGATTCTCTCCGTCTCTCTCTCAGACATATACATACTTCCCTCCCTCCCTCCCTCCCTCCCTCCCTCCCTCCCTTCCTCCCTCGCTCTCTCTCTCTCTCCCTTCCTCCCTCCCTCTCTCTCTCTCCCTCTCTCTCTCCCTCTCTCTCTCCCTCTCTCTGTCTCCCTCTCTCTCTCTGTGGATTTGCTAGTTGCATTTCTCCAAACAAGGCTCCATCGGACAAGCAGAGTGATAGTCTTTTTTTTTTTTGAAGTTCTTTTTTTTGATTTTTTTTTTTTTTTTTGTGTTGAAACGTTTTTTCGAAGTCATGTTTCGAAATGTTTTCTCGAAATAAAATTTTGGTATAATTTTTCGAAATAGTTTTTCGAATATATATAGATCGGTCAGTGCACAGGGGGGTTGTCCTCTTTAAGTGCAGACAGAGATTTTTGTTTTGGTTTTTGGAGGACATTTTTTTATTGTTTATTTATTGTTCGTTTATTTAGTTCTTGTGTGTTGGTCGGAAAACATAACTACAGATCTGTCGCTGCACAGGCTATTGTTCTCAAATTGCGTCTTTTCTCCTCCTCCTCTTCCTCCTGCTCCATTTGCTCTTTTACCCCTCCTCGCTCGCAAATTCTAGATTCGAGGGTATCTCTGATCTCGGATGGGTAAATTGCAAATGTAAAGGTAATGATTGATGAACCCTGATGAACCTGTGTGTGTGTGTGTGTGTGTGTGTGTGTGTGTGTG